AGTTACAGTGCTCCAAAGTCATTTTTGAAAATAATTTTTGGCCTCCTGTGTTATTTCAATGGGAGAGTTTTTTTGAAAAACAACTTTGACTTTAAAGCCCTATAACTTTGTTGAACCTGAAGAAACATATCAATTTTTTGTAAAATAAAGTTAGCAAATTCAATTGCCTGCCTAACTCGTATTTTTTGCAAGGACTCGGATGGATGGATATTCTGTCATATGACTTGCGGCACACCTACCATTTCCCATTGGTTAACATGGGAATGTCGATTTTCAAAAATTCATCAAATTTATCATCAATTTTCGACCTATTGTAATTGAGAAAAAAAATTGAGAAAATTTGGAGGTATTGGAATTAAAGTCAAATTACGTTTCCATTAATAGTATAAGTATTTCAATCGCAGGTTAAGTAAATAAAAATTCAAAGGTAAAGAGGCTTTAACACGTAGTTCAATGAGGAAAAAAGGTTGCCAAACTTATGGAGGGGAGTGTAAGTTGATGTCGCACTTTTCACAGAAGTATACGTGCAAACACAAGGGCTGATCCAGAGAGCCCAAAAATTCTGTAGGGCCTCAAAAAATGGGCCTCTTTAGCCATTATTTTGACTTTAGAGGCCTTCTAGGCTAAATTATCCAAAAATTTGGGCCTAATTTTTTTCCAAGCAAGTGCGGAGAATTTGGGCCCCTTGATAGCTTCTGGATTCGCCAGTGTGGATTATAAAATTGATCAGTTTGTCAGATTCATTAGTTCACTAGAATCTAAAACAAAAAAGAAAAGTGATGTTGGATCCGGATGGGCCAATTGAATGCAGTTACATGAAATAGCGTGTTCTGAATGGCTGGAATTGGGCACACCTTGCCTTTCTGTGTGTGAATTAAATTATACGAACCAACAGCTGCTAAATGAAATAAATGAAACAAACAGCTGCAGTCAACCATATATAAATTAAATGAACATACATGAAGGTGTGTTATTAAAATTGGTTCTTTTGGTTTTATAATAAATTCAATTAGACAAATGAAGAATAATATGAGATGATAATAAAGTGCATTAATATAAACCATGCTCCAAGAATACTACATTTATGAAGGAGATTTGCCACTTTTTCATATAAATTGGCAATTAGTTGTTTGTATGATACTTTTGTGAACTAATGGAATATACCCGCACATATAAAATAAAATAAAGGACACCACAGTCCTGTGCTCACACAGTGAATTGTGACCACACTATGTTTGGGAAGGAGTAACTTTATACAGAAAAATCCTCTTTTTGTCCAAATTAAATGAGTTAGTTACCAAGTCGTTAAAGGGGCAACATGGACTGTAGAGAGAAAATTCGAAAATTTTCATTTTTTCTGGGCTATCAAATCAATATTTGGCTTAACATCTTCTTTGACGTACCTATTTCCTTAAAATGTATGGATAAACTATCAATTTCAGCATTAAGAAGTGTAAATTCAGTTCAAAGTTTCTATAAAGGGAGTCCCACTTATGGATTTTTAAGATTCACCACGTTTCAAGAGGAATATCAGCTGAAATAATGTTCATCCTGGGGGTTTCTTTGTAGATAATAAAAATATATGTTAGTCTTGATGAAATATCCAAACTTAGATATATTTTGACATATATACAGTTGAATGGCCCCCCTGCACTAATTGTTGCACCTTTAAGTTACTCAGATTTAAAACTTACGAACACTTTAAGGAGTTCAAATCTGACCTTAGATTTGAACTTCTGAGTGCTTGTAACAAAAATGTTAATAGATAGTCAATTGGTAATATGTGTAGAACCTTTAGAGGACTGTTCATCCTGACTTTCAAAGTATTGATCTTGAACTTTGAGAAACTTATATAGCAAGTTTGTGACTGAGTTTGACGACATTGACCTAGAAAATTTTACTTTTTCAGAGTTCAATAGGTCTTTTGTGATTAAAGCTGACCGTTTGAATCCAAAATATCAATCTGAAAAATCAACTTTTTTTACCTTTCAAAGGTCACTGAAGGTCAACTTAAGGTCAAATCTCAAATCTAATGTCAGGTTTTAACTCCTGAGAATTTGTAGAAGATTTTTTTAAAAAATGGTCCAACTCAATAAGACTGTGCCCTCTAATTTGAGGTCTATCCACCATGTTATTTTTTCATAATCAACATGGCAGAGAAGCATCAAAATATAAGAGGTTACAGATTTTATAAGCCAATTCACAAGCAATCCAGGATATACAAATGTCATTTGTGTGCAATATGAATTAATATTTTTCTGTATATTATTGCAAAATAGTCTTTAGATTTCTTATTTTTTAGGTTGAACTGGTTGCTATGAAGCAGTATAACACAATATATAGAATATCTAATGTCAGGTTTTAACTCCTGAGAATTTGTAGAAGATTTTTTAAAAAAATGGTCCAACTCAATAAGACTGTGCCCTCTAATTTGAGGTCTATCCACCATGTTATTTTTTCATAATCAACATGGCAGAGAAGCATCAAAATATAAGAGGTTACAGATTTTATAAGCCAATTCACAAGCAATCCAGGATATACAAATGTCATTTGTGTGCAATATGAATATATTTTTCTGTATATTATTGCAAAATAGTCTTTAGATTTCTTATTTTTTAGGTTGAACTGGTTGCTATGAAGCAGTATAACACACTATATAGAATATCTAATGTCAGGTTTTAACTCCTGAGAATTTGTAGAAGATTTTTTAAAAAAATGGTCCAACTCAATAAGACTGTGCCCTCTAATTTGAGGTCTATCCACCATGTTATTTTTTCATAATCAACATGTTGCATTCACAACTTAGATTTGCATGATTGGATAACTTGGGAACAAAAATGAAATGAAATTTACAATCAATGTTGTACAAGTACAATTGTACATGTATCCAATCAAAAATGTATATGATTATGAAGAATATAGTTTGGAGTAGGGAAATTACTAGTGGTTACTGTTGGTTATTTGGTTTCCTGTATAAAAAAGCCTTTTCTCCCATCCTGGCCCATCTCAGCGCCATCTAGTGTTTGATAAATGAATAGAGGTTAATTCCCGATAGGGTAAGTACACAGCCAGCACCATCTATCTAATAATAGAATGAAGTCCGGTAACTTAGAAAAAAGTAAATTCAAAATAATTTTTTCTCATGCCAGTGGCTTTGATCAGTGATATTCTATGTTTATTTAACTATCATATTTTTGTAACTTGTCAGAGAATTTTTTTTTACATTTCTTGGCGATCAATAAATAGATATGAGGTCATGTCCATGAGCAGAGTTTTGGCCCAAAAAAGTAAAAAATTTGCGCTTCAAGCTCAATATCTGCATTTTGCAAGCGATTCTGACCATGTTTTTAAGTATCAAAATAATGTATTGAGACTCAACTGAAGTTAAAAAATAAGGTGAAATATACACCAACACAGTGATTATGACCAAACAAAAACGGGAGCCCAAACCGGAAGTCAAAAGAGTAACCGCACTTTCAGCCTAATATTGAATAATGAAGATTGATAGTGGTCACTCCAGGCCCGTAGCCAGGATTTGCCAAGGGGGGGGGTTCAGTTTTCAAAAATTTCCAGGGGAGGTTCACATTTGACAATTTTGGCCCAAATAAGGCTAAAATCACTTGAGAAGTGCTCAAAATGGGGAAAAACTGCATGATTTTGAAAAAATTTTTGGCCAGGGGGGGGGGGTTCGTCCGAACCCTGCGAACCCCCCCTGGCTACGGGCCTGTCACTGTGGGTAAGTACTAGTCTATCAGGAAATATTTCCAAGTTTGATTAGAAATAGAATTTCTGGAGATAGCGGAGTGATTTTTGAGACTATGTAGAGCAGAATAATTTCCTGAAACAGGTAGCTTTTTGGTGGTAGCTCTCTCCAGATTCATTTATCTCGAAATCTATGTGGTCACCATATCCACAGTCAGAGAGAATGTTCTGGCGAAAGGAGATTCTGGGATTTCAAATTTGGGAAGTTTGGGAAACCAGAATGTGTTACCTTTTTTAATTCCCGAATCTCTCCAAAATTAGCTCATCTTGGTGACTGTAAATTGCACAGCTCTATTCAATGGAGTCTTGTCATATTCAATCAGCCTCAATTTTAAAGTGTATATTTTATTTTTAACGTGATTTCATCGTTTTTTGTCGACTGGTAAGAATCCGCTGGGCAAATGGCAAGATGGATGACTTTTGACCTGACCTTGACCGATGGCGGTGACGTCATCAATTTTATCTCGACGTTGATTGGTTAAATGATGATTGTTTGGGAAATTTGAATTCAGTTCTCGTAACCTCTCGTGACCTCCCGAATAGGTCACGTGACCTTGTGCCAGAAGTCCGACTTTTTTGTCAGTCGACCTGTTCAAAGTACATTTAGTAATAATTATCGCTTTTCAGAACAATTTAGGAAACAATATTTTCTATCTACGTTGATTACAAAGCATCTAAGGTACGTAAATTTATATGAACAACTGAGTCAATAGGGATAAACAGCCCAACGAGAGTCGGCGGTCTTGAAAAATACTTGGATCTGGTTGCCAGTCCTGTTATTGATATCATTCCCGTTCGAAGAACGTATTAGATGTCCGTGACCATATCATCATATTTTCATGGCTAGCCAGACATCTAATGGACACTGGGAACTTCTAGCTAGCTGAGCTGAGCTAGAACTGTGCCGATGAGAAAATTATGAGATAAAACAAATGGGATTTTAATTGCAACCTTCACCCGAAATGAAAGTGAATGACATGTCACATAAGGAAACCAGAAATCACACACTTTTTGTAAGGATCACTGAGCATAATGGAAAACTTCTGATGATATATAATGTATATTACCCTTTGGTATCCGGAGGTCTGTTGTATCTCTCGCCTCTGCCATATTTGGCGAATTATTTGGACGGTAAGTCAACAAAATCTGCTAAATAGTCCAGAACATGATAAATTATTTCGTTTCCGGTTCAAAATGCCCGGATGTTTACATTACCTCGTTTTCGAATAAGGCGGAAGTAAAAACATGTGAAGTTTAAAATAAAATTTGATATATATAATTTAGCTACGCCTGGTACATTCATAATAATGAGGGACAATCCGTTGTCCATATGTGAAAGAGAATTTATCCTCGCTGCTGTTGAAATTCAAAAGGTACGCTTTTATTGTTGTTTAAGGTTCAGCTGGAAAGTAACATTTTGGTAAAAAAATGCTATACCTGCACATGTTATTTTCTGGTACAAAATTAAGTATGAAGTCATGTGTGTATTTCCTTGCTTTTTTCAGGAAAGTATCATTACACTGTTTACTTTTAGAATATCTGGAAACGGGTCAATGGAAGCGTCTGTGTTGTCTGGAAACTTTGAAAGAAAATTTGGAAAAATAGAAAGTGTGAAATATCAGAATTTCCTGGAGTTCCCATTGCACCCCTACCAGATATTCTAAAAGAAGACAATGTAATGATACTTTTCTGAAAAAAGCAAGGAAATTGACACATGCCTTCATACTTTATTTTGTACCAGAAAATAACATGTGCAGGTATAGCAATTTTTTACCAAAATGTTACTTTCCAGCTGTACCTTAAAGGGGCAACAAGGACTGTAGAAAGAAAATTAGTTTTTTTGATTTTTTCTGACTCTGACTCTGAGCATACAAACCTGAACATGTTATTTTCTGGCACAAAATAAAGTATGAAGGCATGTGTTAATTTCCTTGCTTTTTTCAGGAAGGTATCATTACATAGTCTACTTTTAGTAAACCTGGAAACAGGTCAATGGTAGAGTTTCACTGCTTCATTTCGTCAGTGGAACGGCAAAAATAAGAAATTGGGAGACCATTGTGCAATAATATATGGAAAAGTATATTCATAACGTACATGAATGACATTTGTATATTTCAGATTTTTTAGTTTTTTGTGCAATAAGCCTGTGCCGTCTTGTAATTTGAAGAGTTTCAGCCATGTTAATCTTATTGAAAATAACATGGCAGAGAATAGTTCAACAAGTTAAACCCAATACCACGGCTTTCATTTATCAATCTGAATGTTCTTGTTGCCGTGATTGGGTTTAACTTCCGTGCTATGCTTTCATTTGTTGCAAATTCTCTCTATCAGTTATTAAGGATGCAGTACTGGGTCGGTTTTCACATCTGTTTGCGCAGGTTTGACTTCCGGTTTGAGAAAGCTAGCTCCCAAGAACCTCATTTTCGCATTTAGTCTTATTCAAAAATTATAGTTTATTTCGATAATGGTGTTTCCAGAAAAGAATTAAATTGCAAACATTTTATCAAGCATATTTTATCCCTTTCACTTTTATGGGAAAACTTGTTCTTGAGTCGCAATTAGTGGATACGAAAACCAGGGTTCGAAAGGTGCCAGCTCTATTGAAAACTCAAAAAAGTAAAAAGATTCATTTTGGGTAGGTAAAATAATTTTTTATTTTGTAATTACCAGATGGTCAATCCTCTTCATATTGCACTTGGACGATGATAACATCATAGTGATACATTGTAACAAATATGAGCAAAATCTAATGTCTGGAACTTTTTCTACACTGACCTGGTACTGCATCCTTAATTAAACGCGCATGAAATTACATGCGCTGCCATAGACCACCATTGAATATTTTGCATCAAGGGCCGAATAGGCACGGAAGTTAAACCTAGGGCGGGCCACAAGATATGTCAGATAGGAAATAAGGCCCAGACTAGGTTTAACGTGTTGAACTAGGCAGAGAAACATCCAAATATAAGAGGCCACATACTTTATAAGTCAAACTAGAAGCAATCCAAGATATACAAATGTCAATCTCATTCATGTACATTATGAATATACTTTTCCATATATTATTTCACAATGGTCTCCCAATTTCTTATTTTTGCCGTTCTACTGACGAAATGAAGCAGTGAAATGGACTCTAGCTCCTGTGTTGTCTGGAAACTTTGAAAGAAAATTTGGAAAATAGAAAGCGTGAAATATCAGAACTTCCTGGAGTTCCAGATTTACCAGATATACTAAAAGAAGACAATGAGTGACAAATTTAGGGGGAGTGGGCCACTACTCACACCCCCGCAAAAGAATTGGAAAGTTTGGAAGTTGCATTTGTTGATTTTAAACGCTTCAAAAGTGCCGAGAAATCACCAAGTAGACATAATGAAATCATAAAAATTTCAGGAACCCTACCCCAAAAACTAAAGCATTCATTTACTCAAACAAATTCAAAGTGCTCAGAATCAATTAGACAGCATCTTGAATTTGTAAAATTTTCCTGTGCTGCCCCCTTGCTCCCCTAAGAATAAAATGATTGAAAAAATCTGAATTTCTAAATTGATTCTATTGATTAAAACACTTGAAAGTGTCCAGAAATCACTGAATATGATCTTGAACTGGTAAAAGTTCTTGTGTAAACATTTATGTCCTTCTAGCACCCCCTCTCCCTATTCCAATGTTTCTCCAAATTGCTCATACAATATTAAGTCTAAAAAAACTACAAAAACAATAAAATACTACAAAATAGGCTGAGTGGCCCTAATAAAGGAAGGAACCGACCCCCCTCTGACTTACGCGATTTGATTTACCCAGCAATAAATTCAAAAAGTGCAAAACATTCTCCAATGTTCGGATAAATTCCGAGATTAATCATTACCATGATGAAATTCATTCGAATCGGACCGCCGATCGTATGAATTCACGGCACATGGACTCTGTGCAATCATGCAATGTGAAATGACCATTTCACAAGATGCGGAGCATTGAGTGTTAATTTTAGGAAACAACGCCTGAAAGGAATGGTCACTTCACATTACAATGCATTCAGTCTTGGGCTTAAATTCTTTTCACAAATTGCAAAATATTTTCTATAAAATCATCTGAACGATACAAAATTACTAAAAGCACATGTTTTCAATGAAATCTTTTGGATGGGTCAAGCTGGCAAAGTTTCAATTTCAATCTGTAGAGTCCAGTCATCATCAAAAATCTAAGTGTACTTTACTGCAGTTGAGATTATAGTGATTTTTTAATACAAAATTTTGACATTCGGTCTTTCTGTTTTTTCAGAGAATTGATGGCAGAGAGCCTTACGACTTAAGAAAGATCAAGATAACATTTGGATTGGACTATGGATGTTGTCATGTTGAACTCGGGAAAACAAGGTATGCTAGAATATATTTTATTATTACTGCTCAGTGGTTAAGTCTGGCGGTAGAGAAAAGTAGTCACATGGTCATCAATTCATCTTGTGGAGGTGTTTTAGAATTCATTAAGTTAATGAGTGAAACAAAATAAAAGTGCAAGGTAAAATGTATGTATCTTATTCATAATTTACAAGCATTAAGGATTGATGCCTAAAATTGTTTGAGGAAAAACAAAGTTAATTTTGTAAATCTAGAAGTTGTTACGACAATTTTGGAAGTGAAAAATCCAGTTTTGGCCCTTGAATTGGAAAAAGTAACTGATGATTTAAAACTGATTGTTGGGAGGTTAATGAAATTAATGTAATTGTTCCACAAGTGTTGATTATTTGACAATCATATTTTTCTTCAGGGTTATGGCTCAGGTGTCCTGTGAGATTGCAGCCCCAAAACAGACACGCCTCAATGAAGGCACCATGTTCATCAATGTAGAACTTTCTCCAATGGCTGCACCACAGTTTGAAACTAGGTAGGTAATTCATCAAACATAAAATAAGTTTTTCTTTTGCATTTTATGTATAAGGAATGTGACAAAGGTGATAATTTCATAGCTCGACATCCCTACATATCCTTTGGAACAAATATCTGTGCCCGCAGAAGTATCAGTGTCCCCCTTGTACCTTTTACATAAAAATATAACAACTGTCCATGGATTTTCATGTACTGATTTTGCATTATTTTTTGATCGGATCTGACTTAAGATTTGAAATTTGACCTTCATTGACCCTCCCAGGGTCATAAAAAAGTCAAAAATGTCTTTTTTCAACTTGCTTCAAATTGACCAAATTTTTTTTCAATCAAATTGACCAAATTTTTTTTCAAAATCATTTTCAAGTTATAAGATGTTTTGAGAATCCACCTTCAATGACATTTTCAGGGTCAAAAAAGGTATTTTTCAACTTGCTTCAAATTGTAATAATAATATTGTGAGCAACTAGGTGGTGACATTTTGTCATGTTAATGCCTTGTTCTTCAATAATGTTGACAGATTTTACTCATGTGCATAACTCATTGAATCTCAACACTTCTTGCTATACAGGAGCCAAGACCTGAACACAGAGATAACACGCCTCTTAGAGCGTAGCATCAAGAATTCCCGCTGTGTAGACTTAGAGTCACTCTGCATCATGGCAGGAGAGAAGGTAAGTGACATGTTTTGTGGAAAATTGTTTGAGAAAGTTGGATATCCATTTCACACCATTTCAATACTTATAGGTATTATTGCAAGAATTACTGATATTTTGACATTTATTAGGTTCATGAAGTGCTGTGCGGGTGGATTGCGCCTGCTGGCATACGAAAATGCACCCTTGTTTTTTAACTTATTTGACATTTCTGTCACTACTTGCACGTTTGATTCAGTTGAAAACACATGAACTGAGTAGTTTAAGATCCTCCACTTAAAATACACAATTTTATACCTGACAAAATTTGTGGTACTTTTATTTATTTTTAGTAGGATTGTCTTTTCATAACTCGATTCCACTATGTTTTGCTCTATCACTTCGTACAGGGTGATATGAGACTCAAGTATTTCAGTGTAAAATATAAAGGTTGTTTGTATTTATTTATAGATGGCATAATATTTGTAAGATTATGTAGCACTAAATCTGTTTGATAAGTTAATTCTACCAATTTTAGAGTATGGTTATGAGGTATTTGTGCAACCTAAATGCTTTGATATTATAGGAAAGTTACAATTGCGATTCATAAATCAACTTTTGCATGTTAAAACACAAACTTCAAATCTGGCAATACTTGGTGAGTTTGGAAGGTATATTATAAGAATGAAAGTTCAGAAAATAAAATATAGTTGTCGACTGTGCAAATATCAATTAGATCATTTCATGAGAATATCTGGATCAACCTTTGAATGCAGTGGGGTGAAATGAATAATCAAATACAAGGTAACAATTATTAGCAAAACCGTTGGAGGAAATATTCAACTGATACTATACAATTACTGGATGATCAGGAGCTGGATATGGCAGAATACCTATTCGAGAAAGAAATATTGGGTGAGGCCAATATTTTTTCAAGGATAAGTATTCTGGCCATATCCAGCTCCTGATCATCCAGTATTTGTTTTATTATGCACCTTCTCAATCAATCTTTTGAATGTGCCAGGATGTACTTACATTTTTAGAACTTTTGATTTTTCTAAAAACTAATAGCTATACACAGAAAAAGCATTGTCTTGTCCCGTGATTTAATTTACATTTATTTGAGGCATTCTTGCAGAATTATGCGTAATGTTTGAATGATAAGGGTAAACGTGTTTGATTAAATACACTTTTTTCTTTTGTTTGCCACAGTTTCTGATGTTAGCTTTTAGTAGAACTCGAGTTATTGAGAAATAAAACTCTTAAGAGGGGAATGTTGCAAAAACATTGAAAAAATATAAGTCAGTTGCAAAAAATATTGGTCAGTTTCAAAAAAATATTGGGCAGTTAAAAAAGCCAGATATGGCCAAATTACCAGCAGCTTAGAACCAATCAGATTTCAGTATCTAGACAAGATGCATAATGAAATTTGATATTTTCGGATTCACATATGGTAAATCTAATGATTTTCTTCACATTCTCTGATAATTTTTGCAATTCATTTCCAAATATTTGCTCCCAACTGGCTAAATATTTGGTACAAGGATACTAATGATTTCACCCTAATATGCATATTTCTGTTTACTGTATCAATATTTCTGTTTACTGTATTCAAGGTATGGGAGTTGAGAGTTGATGTACATGTGTTGAACCATGAGGGGAATATTTTGGACTGTGCCAACATTGCTGCTATAGCTGCCCTAGCACACTTCAGGTATGTCCACTATAGATTAACAGTTAAGCAATTAACTCTTGTGTAGCTGCATTCATAATTGAACATTTTACCTATAAACATTCATAGCTCGAAACCTGTCTAATCCAAACACTGCTTAGACTGGTTAGAGGTTGTCAGTTCACCCACAGATGCTCACCCCTCATGTCCACATCAGCAATGCACTGTATCAGTACTCAGCATGGCAATATACAGCTGGACACATTCAAGGTCTAAGATTTTGATCTTGTCAAATCATAATAGAGATGTACACATACCATGACAGTGGCATAAACTTAGGGGTTGCATTAACCCTTGAATTATTAAAATAAATAAAAATTTTATTTTTCTCAAAAAAATTTTACCGTCAGTGTGTAAATTGATGTCACTGAGCATCAGAAACTCCATGAAACTATATGTTTTCTGAAAGCTAGAGTCCAATGGAAAAGTAAATTAATCTTTTTTTTATGTGTCAACAAATAATTATGTAACATTTTGTAATCACATGTCAACTGCATAAATGGTGTGAACTACCCCCCCCCCCACCTCATTCACATAGTCACCACTCTGAATTGTCACTTTTACAAGGCATATCACTAATACGCATTGCTCCTCCATCACAAACTCATCAGCATCTATTATATGCCTTTGAGTGACATATTGGAGTAATAACTGATTAAAATTTTTTTTTTCTTCCTTCTTAAGTTCAAGTTCACATGTTAAAATGAGGCTAAGATTGGTTCTGGTTGCTAGGGGATTCCCCATTGAACCAGGAAGAGGGCCTCAAAAGCGCAGTTGATAATTTAAGGGTTAAGACATGAATTGATGTATGTCCAACCATGCAGTTGAGAGTCATTAGGGGTGTGGGATTGTGAATCATTCCAAAACTTACAACATCAACTCCTTGTGTCAATACAGAATACTATGAATTACAATGATAAATCCTGTTTCTTCTGAATGCATAAATTTTTGATCAGATTTCAGGACAGGATTAAACTTTTATAAAAAATTTGGTAGTTGAAGTACATGTGCTTGTATGTATGAAAATATTGAAATCAGTCAATCAGAAAATAAGCACAAGAATTATGAGTTATATTACAAGAATGTAGCCTTGCCCAAGTCGGTATTTTTTTTACTTATCTGATCTTGAATTATTACGGCCTTGTACAATCCAATACATCTCCGCTGATATTATTCTAAGTTATTCAGCGGTTTCGAGATTTCCATAATACCTACGCTGTCAGGGGTATCGCGAAACCTTATTGATTGACAAGATCGCATAGACATGACGTGTGACTTCAGGCTGATTGACCAATCAAAACGTTATCAGATTGACATGCATAAACAAAGCAAACTATCCGTCTACGACTTGAAATTCAATGATTCGGCCGAGTGTTTCTTTAGAGATTCAATATAACTAGGATAAATTAAATCATTCGATTCAATGTTGATTTAAAACTGAATTCGCGATGAAAATGCACGAAGACCTAGCCATGATGTTGTCGATCTGATTCAGCGATTGAATCTCAGCCTAGATGTTTGATCATTTGAATTCAGCGATCGTTTCAATGTTTCTTGTTGAAATCTTCTCACCTCCGGGTATCCGATCGATGCTCTGGCATCCACTTAACTCTGATTGATATTTATCTGATAAAATATTTGTATTTTCATGATGAAATCGTGCAAGATTTGTTCGTGAAAAGTCCCGGTGAAAAGTGTACTTGTTTTTGACCCTGCATAATAATGAGCTAACGCGTCAGGGCTGTCGTTGATTGGTCCAATTTTGACCTGTCATCTCTTGGTTTTTAAGAAATATGGATGTGAAAAAGGTCTTATTTTGGTGACAGTTGTGGGACTTTTATTCTACTTTATTTCCTCTTACATTTCCTTTTCTCTCTTTCTAGGAGGCCAGATGTCACAGTGTGTGGAGAGGAGATAACTGTGGTAAGAGACTTAAGTTCCATATACTTATTTAAAATTGTGTTCAAATGTTGACAGTTATGGAAAGCTGTTTGATGAGGCCTATATAGATGTAGAATGTGAAATCAAATCAGGTTCATAAATAAATAAATTGGACACACAATATCCAATGATATTGTCCAGGCTTTATACTGTTAATGCTCATCTATTTTTCATACAGGAATAATATTTAACTAAAGCAGTTTATTACAAATCACTAACATGATGAGGTAAACATGTACAGGGCTTTCAGTAACGCGTCCTTAACATTAGGAGGGGCCAGATTTTGATGAAGGGGCTTAAAAAAATTAATGATCCGTCCCTTGGACGCAAAGTCCTGCATTTTCATTAACAAAATTGATAGACTTGGAAAAAGATCTTACCTTCAGTCTTTTATTTGGTCAAAATTCGCTAAATATACGAAGGACATTATTCTATTTCTAAAAGAAATACAATATTTTCTTTCGAAGTTTCTTTTCTGGAAGCTGATATCTGATCTAAATAGTACGAGGCCTGTGATAGGACAATCACTATTTGCTACAATACCAAGCGGTAATCGGTACGAGTCCTATAATTGGCTGTGATTATTAATCGCACATGCATCTAATAATTTTGACTAATCAAATTGCTGGATTTGTTGCGCATGCGCATAAAACGGAACTAATAAATGGAACGTCACAGAGATTGCGCCAAGTGCAAGTTGCTTCAAAATACAAAAGAAATGTGAATTCAATGGTTGAATATTAGTTATCTCTTTCAAGTGAAGGTACCTGTATCATTTAGTGACCTACTAGATGTTTGGGGGAACTCATTTTTTGAAAATCAATCCGTCCCAGGGACGCACTCTTGTACAAACCTACTGAAAGCACTGATGTATGAACCGTCACAAAATATAAGTCTCACTATTTTGAATCTATTCATCTTGCAACCAACAGAGCAGTGAGAGGCTAATAAATCTAATGAATTCCCATGATTTGTGGAAAATAGCTTGGGCATATGGCTCAGACTGATTCAAATGTTTTGATTATAACACATCTGTGTAGTAGACTATGTTTTTATAAAAAATATGTTGTTACTCTAAAAATATACTTGTTTTGTTTCATATGTAAATCTTTATCCAGTAAGCATATACGATACAAAACATTTTGAATTAAATCAGAAGATCATGTGATAAAAAAGAAACATAATATGACCTGCATGCCTATTTTAGCCAGAAATCACAACTAGGTGCATTAGTATCCAATTAACTCCTTGCCTCATCATTGCAATTTTTATGACTTATTAGAGAGCGTGTAGATGCACATTTATGACTTTAAAGTGTTTGTTGCCAATATGTGTTTAAATCTGAAGGGGTATCATGATGTTGGAGCATCACCATTGTCATCTGCATTAACAAGGAAAGTTTCAGCTTCTTCTGATATAGGGAAACATTTGCCTTAATTCAGTATCTGTCACCATGGTAACAAATACATACACTGTACACTTGTAACTTGTTACTTATTTGTTGCTTTTTTCCAGCATCCTGCTGATGAGAGGGACCCTGTTCCATTGAGCATTCTACACATGCCTCTGTGTGTCACATTTGCCTTCTTTCATAATGGGTAAGTACATTCTACACATTCCTCTGTGTGTCACATTTGCCTTCTTTCATAATGGGTAAGCACATTCTACACATTCCTCTGTGTGTCACATTTGCCTTCTTTCATAATGGGTAACTGCATTCTACACATGGCTCTGTGTGTCACATTTGCCTTCTTTCATAATGGGTAAGTTAATTCTATACATGCCTCTGTGTGTCACATTTGCCTTCTTTCATAATGGGTAAGTCCATTCTACACATTCCTCTGTGTGTCACATTTGCCTTCTTTCATAATGGGTAAGTACATTCTACACATGGCTCTGTGTGTCACATTTGCCTTCTTTCATAATGGGTAAGTACATTCTACACATGGCTCTGTGTGTCACATTTGCCTTCTTTCATAATGGGTAAGTACATTCTACACATTCCTCTGTGTGTCACATTTGCCTTCTTTCATAATGGGTAAGTACATTCTACACATGCCTCTGTGTGTCACATTTGCCTTCTTTCATAATGGGTAAGTACTATTGGTGTCAATTAACCGCTTGAGCATTAACCGGTTAACCGGGGGTTTTTACCGGTTAAAGTCGGTAAACCGGCGGGAAATTTGAACTGATAATTTCAAATGAAATCTTCATTTTCGATCTTGAAAGTTGAAAAAAATTGGAAAAATGATATATCGGCGTTTATTTTTTACGTTCGTCAAGCTTTACTCTATTCTATGCAAGTAAGAGCGGGAAAGCAATGTGGCAGGGATTAAAGTTGCTGATTGGGTGTTTGTAAGGAATTATCGGACCTATCACATGTATGAGTAGCTCACATGAAACTGACGCTTGAAAAACAAACAGATTAAAATGCAAAGTAAGCGCGGGAAAGCAATGTGGCAGGGATGTTGCTGATTGGATGTTTGTAAGGAGTTATGGGACTTATGACATGTATGAGTAGCTTACGTGAAACTGACACCATAAAACCAAATGGATTAGCATGCAAAATAAGCGCGGGAAATAACAGAATTATACACGGTCAACTAACCACCCATAAAAACACAGACCGGTCAAGGCATTATCGGCGGTTAACCGGTTAACCGGTTAATACTTGACACCTCTAGTAAGTACATTTTACACATGCCTCTGTGTGTCACATTTGCCTTCTTTCATAATGGGTAAGTACATTCTACACATGCCCCTGTGTGTCACATTTGCCTTCTTTCATAATGGGTAAGTACATTCTACACATTCCTCTGTGTGTCACATTTGCCTTCTTTCATAATGGGTAAGTACATTCTACACATGCCTCTGTGTGTCACATTTGCCTTCTTTCATAATGGGTAAGTACATTCTACACATGCCTCTGTGTGTCACATTTGCCTTCTTTCATAATGGGTAAGTACATTCTACACAAGGTCAAAAAGGTATTTTTTATCTTGTTTCATCTAGGTGGTGACATTCTGTCATGTTAATGCCTTGTTGTGTTTTGTCATTGTAGAAAATGTCTGATACTCGATCCAAATGAAAGAGAAGAGCGTGTCATGGATGGGAAGATGGTGGTCTCTATGAACAAACATAGGGAGATATGTACATTACAGATATCTGGTCAGATGCTCTTAGAGAAAGACCAGGTTTGTTATAACATATCAATGGCAGGTCAAAGCCATCCTCCTAGGCTATTTCAACTCCCTAAGTTTTAACTCTTCCCTTGTCAAGTCCCAATTTGTGCAATACTAGCAATGCGCACATAGGTAGTGACATCTATTAATCCCATTCAAACATCAACTTTAATGAAGGTATTCTTGTAAAAGATGCCACCTATGACCATGATATAGTATGGGAGTAATGATTTGTCAAGTGTACAACTTTAGGACAACTGAATTATTTCATGTCACACTTCTTAGTTTACACGATTTGTTGTATTTGGATGAATCTATTGAATTACCCCTGTAATGGAATTTCTAATAGTTTTTTTGTCATACTTAGTTACATATTGTTTTTGTAGATCTTCCGTTGTACCAACATGGCCGTGAAGAAGGTGATAGTGCTCACTGAACTGATACAACTGTCTTTAGAGAATGACTCTAATGCTAGGTATGATATCGTCTTGCATTTTGTCCCCCCCCCCCACTAGTACACAATCCATGAAGTAGATGCGAGCTCGAGAGACTTAATGCAAGTATTTCACCCTCTTGATCTTACCCAATGAAAAGCTGAGACTGGTAGGGGTAGTATGAAAACATTGTATAAAACTACCTTATATTAGCTGTCAATTAAGGGGGTAGAGGGTAAAATACTTAAACATTTAAAACATTTGAGTTTAGAGACTTTGAATATTTTCAGCAAACTAATAAAAGCTATGAATTTCAATAACTGTAGGGCTGCTGGGGAAAAGTTTGGATTTGCAGAGTCTGTAGAAACCAACGAGATTACAACTGAATACAAAGAAGAGTCAGAGGTTGACATGTCAGACATTGATGACCAGGTTGTTATGGCAACACAAAACGGCAACAGTGAAGATGGCAGTATAGAGGAGCTTGAGTTAGATATGGAGACTAAAGTTACAATTATGGTAATGAATTTAAATGTGAATGAATTTAATTTAACATTATTTTTTTTAAGTTAATCATTGTGTACAGATGACTAAGTGTGACAGATGCCTAAATGAGACAGATGACTAAGTGTGACAGTGACTAAGTGTGACAGATCTAAGTGTGACAGATGACTAAATGTGACATGTGACTGGGCAGACCTTCACTCAATAGAGGGCTTTCTATATACATGGATAAAAGACGACAGTAGTAGTTTTGGTCTGGGTGGTATGCCACTTATTTAAATTGAGAAACTGAAAAAACTAATTTAATAAATATTTCTAGTTGGATTTATGGAAAATCTTGCAATTGTGTTCATTAAATCATTGGACATTGATCAAAGGAAATAACAGAATATTAAAGTTCTTCCAGTAAAATGTATAAAGTAAATCATACACAGTGTATATATTATCAAATATGAAAAAAATCTTAACAGGTAAATATGCAAATATCCTAAAATCTAAATAAAAATGAGACCTTGAAAGCTGAACAGCAAAGTTTTAAGTTAGCCTCAGTCTATTGATCTTTGCTAGGCAGCATTTTTTCAAAAGAAAAAAAGATGGATCTAGCCAATATATCTGATTCTTTAATTTAGCAAAAGATGGTGGGGTCTATTGGGAATGACTTTTGAAATGACACTACCTACCAGATACCAGAGAATGTAATGTTGTAAAGGTATGTCAAAGATAATGTGGAAATCACTCAAGTGATGTCCTCGAACATCTATATATATAATAATAATTATCATGTTAATTTTAGTTTGAGGGAACAGGTATGATAGGACAGGGTGGTGCTAATACATGGGACATGGATGAAGATATGGAATCAGACCTCACTGAACACAAGCAAAAGCCACAAGCAAACTCACGCTCAGCTACTATAGCTAAGCACATAGGTACATTTCCCTTTATTACTTTGGAAACTACTAAGCCACAAGCAAACTCACGCTCAGCTACTATAGCTAAACACATAGGTACACTTCCTTTTATTACTTTGGAAACTACTAAGCCACTAGCAAACTCACGCTCAGCTACTATAGCTAAGCACATAGGTACAATTCCCTTTATTGTTTTGGAAACTACAAAGCCACAAGCAAACTCACGCTCAGCTACTATAGCTAAGCACATAGGTACAATTCCCTTTATTGTTTTGGAAACTACAAAGCCACAAGCAAACTCACGCTCAGCTACTATAGCTAAGCACATAGGTACAATTCCCTCTATTGTTTTGGAAACTACAAAGCCACAAGCAAACTCACGCTCAGCTACTATAGCTAAGCACATAGGTACAATTCCCTTTATTGTTTTGGAAACTACAAAGCCACGAGCAATCTCACGCTCAGCTTCTATAGCTAAACACATAGGTACACTTCCCTTTATTAGTTTGGAAACTACAGGGTAGTCCAAAAATGAGTATTCCTTTATATTCTAGGTCTATTTTATACCTGTACATGTATATGATTATCACTTGATTTCCAATCACTGAATGAAAACAATATTGATAAAACTACACTATATTGCTTCCACTATATGGGCAATGGCCTTTATAGATAAACATTCACAATACCCCTAACTACTTGGATTATGTGGTAGTAGTAGTAGAAAAGTAGCTAAAAATTATCTGCCATTTTTATTATGAACTCGTGTGCTCATTGCTTTAGGGTGTGCAGTCGATACTTAACCACTTTAAATGGCCGCAACCATCTTTCCTGCCTGGTCACAGTGTTATGACAGACTTAGTTGTCTTTCAAATCTCTCTTGCATAATTTTGAAAATACCCTAAAAGCCTGTTCCTTTTTATCACACTTATTTCCCGGACAGAGTGCTTTCATTAATGTGTTTATTTCACATATTTAAGGAGGAGACTTGAGCGGTGAGAGTGAAGAAGAAGATACAGTTATGTTACAACAAGAAGATATAGGACTTCAATCTAAACCAATTATCAGGTATTGTTATTGTAACATTCAAACATTATGGGATTTATTGTAACATTCTGATTTTTGTATAATCAGGCACATTAAAACATTCTCAAGTACATTGTAACATTCTTACACTCATTATCATGTAAATCGTGACATTCTCACATTATCATGTACATTATAACATTCTCACATTATCATGTACATCATAACATTCTCACATTATCATGTACATCGTAACATTCTCACATTATCATGTACATTGTAACATTCTCACATTATCATGTACATCATAACATTCTCACATAGTCATGTACATCGTAACATTCTCACATTATCATGTACATCATAACATTCTCACATTATCATGTACATCATAACATTCTCACATAATCATGTACATCATAACATTCTCACATTATCATGTCAAATCATAACATTCTCACATAGTCATGTACATCGTAACATTCTCACATTATCATGTACATCATAACATTCTCACATAGTCATGTACATCATAACATTCTCACATTATCATGTACATTGTAACATTCTCACATTATCATGTACATCATAACATTCTCACATAATCATGTACATCATAACATTCTTACATTATCATGTACATCGTAACATTCTCACATTATCATGTACATCATAACATTCTCACATTATCATGTACATCATAACATTCTCACATTATCATGTACATCATAACATTCTCACATTATCATGTACATCATAACATTCTCACATTATCATGTACATCATAACATTCTCACATTATCATGTACATCATAACATTCTCACATTATCATGTACATCATAACATTCTCACATTATCATGTACATCATAACATTCTCACATTATCATGTACATCATAACATTCTCACATTATCATGTACATCATAACATTCTCACATTATCATGTACATCGTAACATTCTCACATTATCATGTACATCATAACATTCTCACATTATCATGTACACCGTAACATTCTCACATTATCATGTACATCGTAACATTCTCACATTATCATGTACATCATAACATTCTCACATTATCATGTACATCGTAACATTCTCACATTATCATGTACATCGTAACATTCTCACATTATCATGTACATCGTAACATTCTCACATTATCATGTACATCGTAACATTCTCACATTATCATGTACATCGTAACATTCTCACATTATCATGTACATCATAACATTCTCACATTATCATGTACATCGTAACATTCTCACATTATCATGTACATCATAACATTCTCACATTATCATGTACATCGTAACATTCTCACATTATCATGTACATCATAACATTCTCACATTATCATGTACATCGTAACATTCTCACATTATCATGTACATCGTAACATTCTCACATTATCATGTACATCATAACATTCTCACATTATCATGTACATCATAACATTCTCACATTATCATGTACATCGTAACATTCTCACATTATCATGTACACCGTAACATTCTCACATTATCATGTACATCATAACATTCTCACATTATCATGTACATCGTAATATTTTCACAATCATTTACATTGTAACATTCGTACATTATCATAATCATGTACGTACATTGTAACTTTTTCACATTATCATATACATTGTAATATACAATCATTTACATTGTAACATTTTCACATTATCATGTAGATCCTCATTATATATCTATATATTTGCAGTAGTGAAGAGCCAACAGGAAATGAAATAGACCTGACTGCAGCACTCGCTAAACCCAGGGGAAAGAAGAAAAAATCAAAACATAAACATTGAGAACTCATTAATTATGATGTCATATCAGTTATCAGTCTGCCTTTGGATTATACTATATCTAGTAAAATTGGCCTTTACCTGGTGCCAAATCTGATATCACAATTTCAATGAATACCATTCAAGTTTGGCCTAGGACTTCTAGAATTTATTCCAAGTTAACATCAATGGATTGTACAGGATGGCCAATGCCAGACATACTTTTGTTAGATTTGTTCCAGTGAAAGTATAGACATTGGGTTACATGTTAAAAACACTGTACTGTGTAAACCTCCTGTTGAAATAAATTATTTTTGCATTTACAGTAAAATTCACTTTTATGTCATGGGATGCACTAAGTCGCACACTGCCCTCTATCATGGGCGTAGCGCCCGGTACGCTGGGTATGCACAGGTGTACCAGATGGTTGCAAATTCGCTTCAAATACAACCAAATTTCACAATTTTCCTGGGGGCAACCCCCAGACCCCCCTGAATGCTGTTTTTGATTCACTCAACTCTTGTTCCTGTGGTGGTGGCGTACTACTTAGAAAAATAGCGCTACGCTCATGGCTATACAATGGCTCTATTGATCTAGAAGAGTTAATATATGGGGTAAACTGGAGAGCAAACTGATATCAGAGAAGGAGCCTTGGTTGTGAAAGTGGCAATGCATAGGACCTATAACACTATACCAGGGAAGGGGCCTTAGTTGTGAAAGTGGCAATGCATTGGACCTATAACACTATACCAGGGAAGGGGCCTTAGTTGTGAAAGTGGCAATGCATAGGACCTATAACACTATACCAGGGAAGGGGCCTTAGTTGTGAAAGTGGCAATGCATTGGACCTATAACACTATACCAGGGAAGGGGCCTTAGTTGTGAAAGTGGCAATGCATTGGACCTATAACACTATACCAGGGAAGGGGCCTTAGTTGTGAAAGTGGCAATGCATAGGACCTATAACACTATTCCAGGGAAGGGGCCTTAGTTGTGAAAGTAGCAATGCATTGGACCTATAACACTATACCAAGGAAGGGGCCTTAGTTGTGAAAGTGGCAATGCATTGGACCTATAACACTATACCAAGGAAGGGGCTTTAGTTGTGAAAGTGGCAATGCATAGGACCTATAACACTATACCAGGGAAGGGGCCTTAGTTGTGAAAGTGGCAATGCATAGGACCTATAACACTATACAAGGGAAGGGGCCTTAGTTGTGAAAGTGGCAATGCATAGGACCTATAACACAATACCAGGGAAGGGGCCTTAGTTGTGAAAGTGGCAATGCATTGGACCTTTAACAGAGAGTGGTGGGGGACAAACATTCACAGAAATATAGATTTCAACAAAAACAGTTGTATGTTTTAGTTTTTATTTCTTTTTATTTTGATCGCCTTACTGTTGTATGAATTGAGTTCATCTCTAGTCACAATGATGAATTTATGGAAATATAAGATCAGTATATGTATATATTATATACATCTTTAATTGCTTTATACAGTAATGCATGTATCTTCAAATGTAATTCAAGGAAAGGTTTCCCACCATCTCAATGTTCTCCTCAGAATTCGTTTCTCAAGTGGATGCAAAGTTCTAATTCTTACAATTCTATCCAAAATTGGGGAATAAAAGAATGCCAATTTTTCAAAATTTTCTTCATTTTCAAGTACCGTACGTGCTGTCCCTACTTAAAATTCTCAGGATATATGATCTGAGGCCTCATCATGGATCTTCCACAAAATTTGAGTTTGTGATTTGAACAGTTACGCTGGTGCAACCGTGATTTGAACAGTTGGGCTGGTGCAACCGTGATTTGAACAGTTGGGCTGGTGCAACCGTGATTTGAACAGTTGCGCTGGCACAACTCTGCCTTGTGTCATTTCTACCATTTGCACTTTGGCTAAAAGGCGGCAATTTTGAAAATGTGTTATTTAACCTTTTTTTTTTGCTGTAACTGTAGAAGTAGTAGAAAATTTTGTAAAAATTGCTGTTCGATGGGATTTGCTATGATTTGGCGTTGTTATCTGATTTTGGATTGACACAATTAAAATAGATAACAAATGCTTCAAAGATGGGTATTATTTGTGATTTGATTTGTGGCAGTGTAAAATCTGATACAATCTTTTGGTCAGTTGCGTCCACAATATCCTTTAATCTGTATCACCGTTGCATTGCACTCAATTAATTTTAAAAATCTTGTGTGTGATTCACAAAAACTTGCACTGTGTTGTGGTGTGATTGCAAATTTGCATGGTGATTGGTCGATGATGAGGCCTCTGATCACTTCATATAAAGTTCGACTGAAAAAAGGTATTGCATATTTTATTATAAGGGCATTCTGAGGAAAGGTCATTGACTTCAATCAACAATACAATGGCTGTGAGACTGAATGCTTGAGGAGATGCTCTACTTTCATAGTTAGGCATATGATTTATAAGTGAATGTGTATGAACATTTTACTGAAAAACCAATAACCAACAACTTCTCAATATTTTTGGACGTGTGGATATATCACAATATACTCCCCCTTCAAAAGTTTGGCAACCCAGACTCAAGAATTTAATTCCTATAAAGCTTTCAATTTCCCTTTGTTGATTATATCACGAGAAAGGCCAAGATATAAATGATATCCATGACCCTAGATGGTCAATTGGGGCTGCCACAATATTTTCAAATCAGAAGTCCTGGATATTTCCCTGATTCAAGCGTGATATTCTCCTTCCTCAAGATTCTGAATTTCCTTTACCTTTCTGAGGAAATTCTAAACCTGACTAAAAACAGTGGCAACACTGTCAATTTAAACTACCAGTAAATGCTTTGGCCTTACATGATGTAACTTTATCATGTTTGCTAGTACACTAAACAAAATGGCATACAGAACTTAACTATATAGTAGAAATATAATATATTCTCACCAGAATACACATTTTGCTTGAAAATGGTACAAGATGTAGGATAAATAGTATTAGATACACCCCTCTCCAAATGTTTGGTAATAAGATAAATCTTTTTGGATCACATGTCAAAGATTGATCATTTCTGAGCTATTTCAATATATATGGTACCTAAAAGGAGAAGGGGCGTGTATGCAAATGGTAAATGAAAATGTCCTCATCAGACTTATAGAAGGGGGGTGTATGCAAATGGTAAATGAAAATGTCCTCATCAGACTTATAGAATGGGGTGTATGCAAATGGTAAATGAAAATGTCCTCATCAGACTTATAGAAGGGGGTGTATGCAAATGGTAAATGAAAATGTCCTCATCAGACTTATAGAAGGGGGTGTATGCAAATGGTAAATGAAAATGTCCTCATCAGACTTATAGAAGGGGGGTGTATGCAAAGGGTAAATTTCCTCATCAGACTTATAGAAGGGGGGTGTATGCAAATGGTAAATGTCCTCATCCGACTTATAGAAGGGGGTGTATGCAAATGGTAAATGTCCTCATCAGACTTATAGAAGGGGGGTGTATGCAAATGGTAAATGTCCTCATCAGACTTATAGAAGGGGGGTGTATGCAAATGGTAAATGAAAATGTCCTCATCAGACTTATAGAAGGGGGGTGTATGCAAATGGTAAATGAAAATGTCCTCATCAGACTTATAGAAGGGGGTGTATGCAAATGGTAAATGAAAATGTCCTCATCAGACTTATAGAAGGGGGGTGTATGCAAATGGTAAATGAAAATGTCCTCATCAGACTTATAGAAGGGGGTGTATGCAAATGGTAAATGAAAATGTCCTCATCAGACTTATAGAAGGGGGGTGTATGCAAAGGGTAAATTTCCTCATCAGACTTATAGAAGGGGGGTGTATGCAAATGGTAAATGTCCTCATCCGACTTATAGAAGGGGGTGTATGCAAATGGTAAATGTCCTCATCAGACTTATAGAAGGGGGGTGTATGCAAATGGTAAATGTCCTCATCAGACTTATAGAAGGGGGGTGTATGCAAATGGTAAATGAAAATGTCCTCATCAGACTTATAGAAGGGGGGTGTATGCAAATGGTAAATGTCCTCATCAGACTTATAGAAGGGGGGTGTATGCAAATGGTAAATGTCCTCATCATGATAACACAGAGGTGTGAGTGTCGCCCATTTCTAAGTGGCATTACTAAGTGGTAATTAATATTTAAATTTTTCTTGGGAGATTCAGAAGAAACTGTGTCATGGTGAAGAATTGCATTATAGATCTCAAATCTACCTTTTGTTTATATCCTGTTGATACAATGCTAGGCACTTTAGTTAGAAACCATTCTTATTAACAAATAAGTGTATTTTGATGAAAATATATATTCATTCAAAGCATCACATACAATTTTAAATTTCACAAAATCATAAATATATAATAACATTCATTGATTCTCACAAAAATTGGCCATATTTCATCACCCATCTGTTCTTATTCATATTTTCCATTCAGCTTAGATCTGAATTCATTCAAGTTTCTACAGATGTCAAAATACAAATGTTTTAATAGACTTGAATTCTAAAATTGATATTCTTAAAATAATTAATTTTAATTCCCAATAGTTAAAATATAAAAGTAAATAAGATTTCAAATGAGGGTCAACCAAGATGCAGTGTTCATGTAAATGTGTTTTGTGAACACCTTCCTCAAAGGCGTTTGCTTCTTACAAAGGTGAACAATGATATGGCTTACCTTAATGCCGTAGGAAATTGTACAATAGACTGCAATATCTCATTGATTAAAAGTCAATTTTTAAATTCAATAAAAAAGATGTGTGGACCCTATATCTAAATATTAAGTACCCTTGCAGAATATATTTTACAATCAGAACATTACAATCCACATTTTCTAATTCAAAGAATTATTCATTTTATTTTTTATTCAGAGTTGAATCTCCAAAAACTACAATTTTTGACATACGATTTTATTAAAATCACAATGTTTATGTCATGTTTGTCAAAATCTATAGTTTTTGAGATGTTTAATGTACAGAGTGTGTTCTCAATCTATTATCATTTAAGTTCCTGTTATCCAAGTTATCAAAGATCATATGAGAGTTATCCTTTAATTAGTGTTATCCTGTATTATACAGGGCTGATTCGTAAACTACACATATGTTGTGATATTTAGTGTATCTATAATATATCTACTTTATTTACAAGATTTACAAAATACATCCAGTACAGCAAGCAGTATCTAAAATGTAAGTTTTTATCATATAAGTCACAATGAACTGAGTAGGCATCTTTGAACATTAAATTTCCAGAATTAAAATATCCAATATATTGCTGAAAATATGCACTTGGTGCATGATTCAGTTTGGTGAATTATGGTTGCTGGTTTGCAAGACCCAACTCTATGGATATTAAGTGGAAGTGCTATTTATGTTTTGAACATTGTTAAGGAGCTTGAATTAGTTTTGTC